GGTTAAATTATTTTCATGTAGCACTTTGAACAAATTCCATTTTTTTTTCTGGAATTTGTTTTTTCTTTTCTTCAATTTTTGGAAATTCTCAGCCAGTATATCTTTGAATTTTGCTTCTCCTTCATTCTATCCGTTGTCTCCTTGTGGATATATATGTTTTAGATGTATAGGATCTTTCATATATCTTTCAACACCTCCTTCCTGTTTTCTCTCACTTATCTCTATGTGTTCTGTGTACTATTCTTAAATCTACCTTGCAGGTTGCCAGTAGTGTCTGACTGCATCTAATATACTATTTAACCTGTCTTTTTGACTTTTTAATTTCAATGACTCTTTTTGATTTCTAGAGATTGCTTATGGTAGTTTTTCAAATCTGCCCTTCTTTTATTCATAGGGTGTTTTGTTATGGTTTTTGTTCCTTCTCTTATCACTGTAATCATTTTAAACAAACTTTCATATCTTCTTTCAGACTATTGTATAATCTTTTTGTTTAGGGAGCTTCTCTTTGTTGAGGGTTTTTCCTTTATGTATCCCATGCTCAACGTGAACATAAACCATCACTTAGTAATTAGAACTGCTCAATAAATGTGTTTAATATTTTTCTTACATATTTAAAAAAATAAACTTTTAGGGGAAAAAATCTACAGCATTAATTTTTTTAAATGCTGCTTTAAAATAAACTAATAGTTCATTTAAACAGATTTCCGATTAATGCCATTTGAGACATATTGGTAGGTGGCTGGAATTTAGAAATGAAGGAAAGTATATTCCTCCTCTGGTTTTCCTACTCACCATCCTTGCTTCTAAGAAACATTCTAGCTGTATTTCTTCCAAGACAGATTTGTTTGTTCTTCTGGCAGTCTGTTCTGAGTTCTCTAGAGAAGCAAAACCAGTAAAGCGTATAAATATATATAGAGAGAGATTTATATCAAGGAAACGGCTCATGCGATTGTAGAGGCCGGAACATCCCAAGTCCGTGGATCAGGATAGAGGCTTCTCTCTATTCACGTAGCCACAGGGGCTGGCGAACCCAAGATCAGCAGGTTGGAGAGCAGGGCTCTTGCTCACAGGCTGTGAAGATCGACGAATCCCCAGGTTGGCAGGCAAGACCGCGAGGGTTCTTCTGATTCACGCAGCTGCAGGGGCTGGCGAACCCAAGATGGGCAGGCCGGAGAGTAGGGCTCCTGCTCATAGGCTGTGAAGATAGACAATCCTAAGATTGGCAGATAAGCTGATACAAGTCCCAAGAACCAGAGGTCAGACAAACAGAGGCAGCCGCAGGATCCAGAGCAAGCAAAAAAGCCAGAACGTCTGCTTATATTTGGATGCAGGCCACACCCCCAAGGAAACTCCCTTTCAGCTGATTGACTACTCACAGCAGATTCCATCATGGGAGTGATCACATATAAACATTGAGAATCATGGCCCAGCCAAGATGACACACAGTCTTAACCATCACAAGCCCATAGGATTGTCTGATTCAATCCTAGTCCATTTCACCTCACTGATGCTTAGGATATCTATATTCAAGTGTTCCGTTTAATTTTTGTCAACGTCCAATTTTCCTAGATTCATACTTTGTAGATTCCACATTCTGATTACTAATGGATGTTTGCAGCTGTTTCTTCTCATTTTGAGTCTCATCACATCCTCAAATGAAAGTCCCAAAAGCTCTCCTTCATCCACATCATTAAGGTCCACTGTAGTTTGAGGATGCAGGTCTTCCCCAGTTGTATTTTGAGTGCCTTCCAACTTGAGGGGCTCATCTTCTGGTATTCCATCAGACAGTGTTCTACTGCTATTCATAGGGTTTTCACTGGCCAATTTTTCAGAATTAGATTGCCAGATCCTTTTTCCTAGTGAATCTTAGTCTGGAAGCTCCACTGGAACCTCTCCACCGTGAGTGACCCTGCTGGTATTTGAAGTTTCCAGCATCACAGCGACACGCAAGCACATGCAAGCCACCACAGTATGACAAACTGACAGACGAGTGGTGGTTTTAATTATACCAAAAACCCACTGCCGTCAAGTCGTTTGCGACTCATAGCGACCTCACAGAGTTTCCAAGGCTGTAAATCTACGGAAGCAGACTGCCACATCTTTCTCCCTTGGACTGCTGGTAGTTTCGAACTGCCGACCTTTTGGATAGCAGTCAGTCGCTTCAACCACTATGCCACCAGGGTTACTTGGTTTTATTTATAGCTGTCCTAAAAAAAAACAGAACAAAAAAAAAAAAAAACCAAGTTGCTGCTGAGTGAACTGACTTGTGGCGTTCTCATGTGTGCCAGTAGATCTGTGCGCCATACGGTTTCCAGTGGCTGGTTTTTGGAAAGTAGATCTCGAGGTCTTTTTTCTGAAGTGCCTTTGGATGGACTTGAACCTCTGGCCTTACAGTTTGCGGTGAAGCCTGTCTGTTTGCACCACCCAAGGACTCCATAGCAATCCTAAAACTCGTTGCTGTCAAGTCGATTCCAACTCATAGCGAACCTATAGGACAGAGTAGAACTGTGCCATAGGGTTTCCAGGGAGCGGCTGATAGAGTCAAACTGCCAACCTTTTGGTTAGCAGCCGTAGCTCTTAACCACTGTGCCACCAGGGCTCCATAGCATTCCTAGTGGGTATGAAATGGTATCTCATTTGGTGTTTCCCCTTCCCCACCCGTAGCTCTTAACCACTGTGCTATCAGGACCCCAATTAGTCATCAGGAAAGTGTAAATCAAAACCACAGTGGGGTTGGGGGGGGGAACACCAAATGAGATACCATTTCATACCCACTAGGAATGCTATGGAGCCCTGGTGGCACAGTGGTCAAAAGCTTGGCTGCTAACCTAAAGGTCGGCAGTTTGAATCCACCAGCTGCTCCTTGGAAACCCCATGAGGGCTGTTCTACTCTGTCCTGTAGGGTCGCTATGAGTCGGAATCAACTAGATGGCAACAGGTTGTTTTTGGTTTGGATGACTAATTATGTTCAGCATCTTTTCATGTACATATTGTCCATTTATAGGTCTTTTTTGGAGAAATAGCTATTCACATCCTTTGCTCAATTTTTAATTGGGTTGTCTTTTTATTATTAAGTTGTTCTTTATATATTCTACAAACAAGTCCCTTGTCAGATATATGATTTGCAAATATTTTCTCTCATTCTGTAGGTTGTCATTTCACTTTTTTGATAGTGCCTTTTGAAGCATGAAAGTTTATAATTTTGGTGAAATCCATGTTAGCCTATTTTTTCTTTTGTTGCTCATGCATTTGGTGTCATGTCTAAGAAGCCATTTACCAAATCCAAGGTCATGAAGATTTACCCCAATATTTTCTTCTAAGAGTTTTATAGTTTTAACTCTTAAATTAGGTTTTTGATCCATCTTCAATTAACTTTTGTATACAGTATGAGATAAAACATTCTTTTGCATAAGACTATCCAGTTGTCCCAGCACTATTTGTTGAAAAAGACTGTTCTTTCTCCTTTGAATGGCCTTGGCACCCTTGCTCACTCACTGATTTTTAAGCCCCTTTCTTGTGGCCAGTGTGTAAACTTTCAAGTCCCAGACCTGTGATTAGTATTTTATTATTTACTGTTGGTCTTTTTTTCTCTTGGAGTGATTTTGTCTGTACTTATTTGTGTCCCGTGCTTCCTTCTGCTCTGTTTTTGCAGTCTTTTAAGCCTCAGTCCACCAGCCTCCATTCTCTGTACCCACAGGTTTCCATCAGTAGCGGGAGATTTGTTGAAATTTGTTGTTTATTTTTCTACATATAGGTAATTTAAAGTTTGAGTATTCAGACTTCTCTGGATATTCTCTGTCTCCTAGGAATGTGAAGGCGTGGGTTATGTGTGATTTTATTTGGGATCTTGTTGACCTAGGTTTAGGTGTTTTCAGAGGATATGTGGAGAAATTCAGGTTTTGGTGGCCATCATTACTGTCCAGAACCTGGAACCGCTACAGTTGATGAATATATTAAATTAGTTTGCGTAAATGAGTATCTAAAACTTCTCATATGCTTTTACTAAAATAGTCTCATTGTTAAATGGTTGTTCATAATGCAGCCAAATTAAGCAAATCTTGGTTTGGTTAAAAAAAATGTAATTGGTTTCTAGATTGTTAAATTAAAGTCAAGTTCATACATTCAATAAACTCTTACAGATTTTAAGATCTGTGAGAGCAAGAACTATTGCTATCTTATTTATTCTTGTAATCCTAAGCATGTAGCACTCTGGTATGTATTAGACAATCAGTAAGCATATTGAATGAGTAAATAAGGATGTTACATAATAACTTTATGCATGATACATGAGGGTTATTTTAACATATTATACTTAATCTCAGAGAATCAATGATTGGGAAACCAAATGTATACCTATTCATAAATATTATATTTGTTGACCTTACTTTCCTTCTTGAAAATTTCACTTCTCTCTTGGGCTCTTTGATCTTCCTGGTTTTCATCCCACCTCTGTACTGCTCCTTCACATCATCATTGAAGACTCCAGTTTCTTTGCTTATCTCTTAAATGTTGGCTTTTGTTTTTCTTCTCTATGTCTTCTTCCTTGGCCATAGTCAATTCGTTTCCATTGCTTCAGTTGCCATTTATATAAATGGAAATCTGTATCTCTATCCCAGATCTCTTTCCTGAGCTCCAGATCCGTATGTCCAACTAACTGTTCAATATCTCCTCCTTTTATGCTCCATAGTCCCTAACTGAATAAATATCTTATCATAAATAACTTATCTAGGATTTCTCAAATCAGTGAATAACGTCAGCATCTTGACCATTACCCTTACTCCTACCCCTAAATCCAATCAGTCAGGTATAATTCTCTGCTAAATGTAATTCAGATTTTTCTACTTTTCTCCAGCCTTGCTGTCATTGTTGAAGACCATTGCAGCAAATTCTAATGTTTCTTTCCTCTAATCCTGTCTCTACACTACAGCCAGAGTAATTATTCTAAAATACATCTGAGCATATCATTCCCCTGCTTAAACTATTTGCCTCACTCATTTCAGAAAATGGAATCATCAAGACAGATAAAGTATTTGAAGTAATGCTGGCTACAGACCGCTCCCACTACGCAAAATGTAATCCTTATATGGATTCTCCACAATCAATAGGTAAGCTCTGGATTTCTGAAAATGTCACATTTTCCCTCACTGACTCTCTAATTTTTTTTTTTTTCCCCATACAAAAATAAACAGGTAAAACTAGTCTGGGGTACAGGTATTTATCTACTTACCTTTCTCCTTTGAATATTATACCTTAGTAAGTTTTAATCCCAAACATACCCATTTTAATAATCTGATATTATATATGATGCATCTTCTATATTCTTTCAAACAGTATATAATATATATAAAGGATTTTGAAAAATTTTTCTTAAAATATACTTTTAATGAAAACTTATGGTAGCTGAGTATTGAGTTTTCCTTAGATTTATTAATGTTGGCTGAAGATTGCTTTTTGCAAGAGCATTAATTGTTTATGTCAATATTTAAAAGAATTAAGTGTAATTAAGGTATTACTGACTTTCTGCTTCATTTGCCCTGACTTTTTTGCTTGCCTTTGTTTTTAGAAAGTTCCTTATTTAACTCCTTCTCCTGAAGCAGGTTTTGCTGAACTGCTGAGCCTTGGCAGTGGGCGCCTTTGAGGCTTAGAAGTGCCTCAGGATTCTATCGGCCAGCTGCCATGCTATCTTCTTTTGAAGCACAGTCAGCAGAGAAGATCCTGGGGAGCTTCTGAACCCCGAAGGCACCTGCTACCACCGCTCAGTGAAAATTGCTTCAAAGGCAGAAGCAGGTAAATAAGTTGTGAGAAAGCAGCACTGGAGAAAAGAAACTAAAAGCTAAAAACCAAGAAAAGATTGTGTGAATCAATATTAGATAATAGTATAAAGACTAAACCGAAGTAGTTTATTTGTCTCTTAAACTAGTTCAATTACCAGTTGCTCCAGCTTTTTAAAAGTTCCCAGAAATATGAAGCAATTTAATTTTGCAAACAGTAGGAACATACCTGTTGTATAAAGAAACATATTTTCTTTTTTATAAATCTGGAGAAAAAAGTAAAAAAGCTATCAATTCTCAACTTACTGAAATTCTTCCTTTCTTAGCAAACGACACAGAAGAAGAAACTTCTAGAAATCGTAGGGCCGTTTAGTGGGAGAGAGAGGAGCAGCTTGGCCTTTGGCATGATTCTCTTTTCTAATTTTAACAGCTATATGGCAGTATTCTAAAGTGCAAAATAAAAGTTTTATTTTCTCAAGATTATCAAAACTCAAATAATTATTGTGGAAAGTAATTTATGGATATTAAAAAGGAATTGTATGGATTATTAAGTATGTTTTTGCTGATGAATGTATCAGTAGTTCTCATCTTGTTTTGCAGGTTTCCAAGCAACAATCAGTGCTCCACACATGGTAAGTTAACTTTGCTCATTTGGTTACAAATGGATCACATTTTCCTCTAGGATCTTTTATTTAATTCTTCAGTAAAAAAAAGTGTTTAAAGAAGGTTTTAAACTTCTAATTAGATCAGTTTTATCATCTATGAATTATAAATCAGTAACGAACATTTTATTCTTAATATATGGTATATAAAAGCAGCTCCTCTGGGTAAAAACTGTTATACTAAAGTTTGTGGTGATTGTCATGATTATCTAATCATGTAAAAATTGAACATAAAAGATATTTAGCAGTAAGAGTCAATTGAGGGAGGGAATATTTTAAATAGTATAATGGGCAGGTTATAGAAATCTGAAGTTGAATATTGTTTCACATTTATTTGTAAAATTCATTAGGGAATGGTCAGGTATAGCAACTAGCTGCATAACCTTGAGAAAGACCTATTTTTTAAGCGATCTAGCACTTTTAATCTGTTGGGAATTTTCTTGGGTTTTAAATGTCCTTTATTTGAATGAGTACTCTTGGTTTTTGGTGTTTCAAAGCAATTGCTTTTCTGATTCTCTACAAGTATTTGGAGTTGGAGAAGCTCTTCTATACTTAAAGCCTTCTTTATAATAAAATGAATTTTACATAAATATTTATAGGGAACTGATAATTATAGTAGAAAAAAATAGAATTATTTATAAAAATTGAATAGGAATGGCCTCTTTAAACGTGACAAAAAACAGAAGTCATTTTTAAAAAAGACACATTTTGCAACATAAAAAGTTAGGATTTCTGTACAGGAAAAAAGTCAGAAGCAAAATTAAAAGAAGAAAAATTGAAGGAAATATTTGTAATACATTTGACAGTTTAGGGCAAATTTCCATATGTAAACATATATACATACACACGTGTATCCTGCAAATTAATTAGCAAAAAACCAATAAGCCAAAAGAAAATAGGTTAAGGGTAACAATGATAGTTCATAAAAAAAGAAATACAAATGATCCTGACATTTAAGCAAAAAGATATCATCTTCACTTATAATTAATAAATTGCAAATTAGCGCTGTAGTGAAGTACCATTTTTCACCTATCAAATTGTCAGAGCTCAAAAAGTTTGATGCTGTATATTGGCAAGGGGAAACTGGCAGTCACATGCTTTTTTTGGTGGGAGAGTAAATTGACGTAGTGTCTTTAGAAGGCAATTTAGCAAGATCTATCAAAATCTGGAATAAATACACCTTAGACTTCCCAGTTTTGTTTTATTTATCCTGTAGGTGTATTTTCAAAAGTACAAAATGACTTAAATAAAGATATTCACTGGCACATTGTTTATAATATAAAAAAAAATTAGCCACTCAGTCCACTAATAAAACCTAAACTAAACCCATTGCCTTTGAGTCGATTCCAACTCATAGCAACCCTGTAGGACAGAGTAGAACTGCAGCCCCATAGGATTTCCTAGGCTGTAATTTTTACGGAAGCAGATTGCCACATCTTTCCCCTACAGAGCAGCTGGTGGGTTTGGTTAGCAGCCTAGCGCTTAACACTGTGCCACCAGGGCTCCTCAGTCCACTAATAGTGGATGGTTAATAAATTATTGTACACCCATACAATGGACTACTGTGAAGCTGTTAAATGAGGATGCTCGGTAAATATGTATATAGCAAGATCTTCAAGAAACATTGTTAGTGTTAGAGTGCAGAAGGGTATGTAAAGTATTCTGTGATCTATGAAGATCAAATAGGCATATGTATATAGCACATACGTCTTCCTATAGGCATGAAAACTGAAAGCGATTATTCTAAGGTGGGGAATTAGACCATTGGGGGATAGAAGTGGAAGTGAGATTTGTTTTTCACTGTATACCCTCTATATGTTATCAGTTTTTAAAACTATGTGCATTACCGATTCAAAGAAACTAATAATAGAAAAGTTTATAGCCTTAAGGTTCCTGCAAGCAGTTTGAACTACTACTTAAATGAAAAATTTAAGTAGAAACATTCACTTAGTCCTAAAAGTATTTTGGAGAACTGATACCCAATGTGTTGGGAAATTGACTGGCAGGATACGTTTTCAGGTATTAAAAGAAATATTGTGTGATTTTTTTTTTTTTTTCTTCCCCTCAAGTTTGATGCTGGGCGTTGAGTTCACTGCCAGACAAAGCCTGGTAATTGCTCCATGGCAAAGAATACTTTTTTTTTTTTTTTAAATAACAGGGTTTTTTTTTTTTTTTGAGATATAATTCATATACTATAAAACTCACCTTTTCAAAATGTGCAATTCTGTGGTTTTTACTATATTCACAGTTGTGTAAACATCACCACTATCTACTTCCAGGACATTTTTTTATCACCCCAAAAAGAGACCCTGTGCTCTTAGTTATCTGTTCGTATTCTCCACTCCCCCCGGGTCCTAGCAACTACTAATCTGCTTTCTCTTACTATGGATTTGCCTATTCTGGATATTTGATGTACATGGAATCATACAATATGTGGCCTTTTGTGACTGACTTCTTTAATTTAGCATTGTAATTTCAAGGTTTATCCATGTTTTAGCATGCATCAGTACTTCTTTTTATTGCTCAGTAATATCCTGTTGTGAATATACTACATTTTGTTTATTCATTTGCCAGTTGACGGACATTTGGACTGTCCACCACAGTCAAATGTAGAAGATTTTCTTTATAAACTATGTTATGTCAATTGAGCTAGATGTCCCTTGAGACCGTGGTCCCCAGCCTTCACCCCAGTAACTCGGTCCCTCAAGGAGTTCGGATGTGTCTGTGAAGCTCGTATGACTTTGCCTTGGTCAAGTTGTGCTGACTTCCCCAGCCAGTATTATGTACTGTCTTACCCTTCACCAAAGTTACCACTTATCTACTGTCTAGTTAGTGTTTTTCCCTTCCCACTGCTTCCCTCCCTCGTAACTATCAAAGATTATTTCTTTCTGTGTATAAACGTTCTCTTAGGTTTTTATAATAGTGGTCTCATACAGTATTTGTCCTTTTGTAATTGACTTATTCCACGCAGCATAATGCCCTCCAGATTCATCCATGTTGTGAGATGTTTTGCAGATTCATCATTGTTCTTTATTGTTGCATAGTATTCTCACGTGTGTATGTACCATAGTTTGTTTATCCATTCATCTGTTGATGGGCACGTAGGTTGTTTCCGTATTTTTGCTGTTGTGAATAATGCTGCAATGAACCTGAATGTGCATATGTCTATTCCTGTGATGGCTCTTATTTCTCTAAGATATATTCCTAGGAGTGGGATTGCTGGATCATACGGTATTTCTATTTCTAGCTTTTTAAGGAAACACCATATTGTTTTCCATAGTGATTGTACCATTTTGCATTCCTACCAGCAGTTCCAATCGCCCCGCAGCCTCTCCAACATTTGCTATTTTCTGCTTTTTTTTTTTAATTAGTGCCCGTAATGTTGGGGTGAGATGGTATCTCATTGTAGTTTTGATTTGCATCTCTCTAATGACTAGTGGTTGTTGTTATTGAGTTGGCTCTGACTCATAGCGACATTATGTATAACAGAACAAAACGTTACTCAATCCTGTGCCATCTTCATGATTGTTGGTATATTTGTGTCCCTTGTTGTGGCTATTGTGTCAGTCCATCTCATTGAGGGTTTCCCTTGTTTTCGCTGACCTACTTTACCAAACATGATGTCCTTTTCCAGCAGTTGATCTTTCCTGATGATGTGTCCAAAGTAAGCGAGCCGAAATCTCACCATCCTCGCTTCTAAGGAGCATTCTAGTTTTATATTTTCTATATTACTTGTTACTTACGAAGAGAAAAGTATGCCTTTAAAATAGTCATCTGGTGGCCACCACATTTACTGAGTGGTTGAGCCTGGCATGTCCAGTAGAGAGATGGCTTCGCATTATGTGCTTCCTTATCTGATGCAGTGAAGTACACAGTGTGACCTACTGTGTGGTGTCCTTGCTGGAAGCCTTTGATCTGAATTTAACCACGAGGAAATAGACAAATCTGAAATGTGGGACATTATGTAAGACAATGGACTGAATTCCTCAAAGGGCTGAATATTCTAAAGAACAGAGTGAAGTGGTCGGTGGAGAAGGGTTAAGGGGAGAACTATTCTAGATTGGAGAGATAAAAAATACGTAACAGCCAAATGCAGTGCATGAACCTTGAATGGATTGGGGGAGGCAAACAACTGTAAAGGCAGTTTGGGGGATAATTGAGGGAATTTGAATGTGGCATGTATGTTGGATGATAACTGAATTGATGATTTTGTTGACTGTACTAATGATGATGTGGTGGTGAAGGAGGATGTCCCAGTTTTTGGCAGATGCGTGCTAAAGTATTTAGGAATGAACGGTCATGATGTGTACAGCCTATTTTTCAGATGGTTTGGCAAGATAGTATGGCACAGTATAAACAGTTGGTGACTCTATGTGAGGAGGAAAATTCTTAAAGTTTTTCTGAGTTTAAAAATTTTCATAATTATTAAAATAAATATTAAAAAACTCAATGTTTAGACTTAGAAAGAGATGAGCATGGGCTATCCAGAAATATGCTAGCTATAGTGATAAAAGCATGGAAAAAGCTTATAATTATGACTGAAAGCCTTTAAAATCAGACATTTTAAAATCTGAGTGAGACTTTAATGATAACTTAGCAGTAACCCACCCCTAAAAAAATTCTATACAGACGTTGTTGTTGTTGGGTGCCATCAAGTCAATTTTGACTCCTGGTGACCCTGTGTACAACGTAACAAAACACTGCCTGGTCCTGCGCCATCCTCACAATTGTTGGTATGTTTGAGCCGATTGTTACAGCCACCGTATCAGTCCATCTTGTTGAGGGTCTTTCTCTTTTTCGCTGACCCTCTACTTTACCAAGCATGATGTCCTTCTCCAGGGACTGGTCCCTCCTGATAACATGTCCGAAGTACCTGAGACAAAGTTTTGCTATACTTGCTTCTAAGAAGTATTCTGGCTGTACTTCTTCCAAGACATATTTGTTCGTTCTTCTGGAAATCCATGGTATATTCAGTATATATATTCAGGATTCTACACCAACACCATAATTCAAAGATATCAGCTCTTCCTCAGTCATATTTTGAGTGCCTTCCAGCCTGATCTATCCAGCACCATATCGGATAGTGTTGCAGTGCTATTCATAAGGTTTTCACTGGCCAAGTTTTTTTTAGAAGTAGATTGCCAGATCCTTCTTCCTAGTCTGTCTTAGTCTGGAAGATCCACAGAAAGCTGTCCACCATGGGTGACCCTGCTGGTATTTGAAATACTGGTGGCATAGCTTCCAGCATCATAGCAACACGCAAGCCACCACAGTACAACAAACTGATGGACACAGTACTGAAAAAAAGAAAAATATTCCAAAATTTCTTTAGGAATATGTTGAAGCTGTACTGCGTCTAGATTGTGGATTTGGCAACTTGAAGAGGTCCCTTCTAGTCTTTTGATTTTTAGATTCAGGAAAGCTAGGTATTATAGGAATTATGTTGTTTCTTTAATTTCTTCCATTTTCTTATGGTGTGGTAGTTGTTACCATATTCATAGAAATTATTAAACTTTTGGGGGATACTGATCATTTTAAGAATCTGATGAAAGATACGGATTTTCTTCTGGAAAAAGTACACACACAATCTCTCCATAGAGATCCCATCCTTCAGGTTAAATCTTTTAATTTGACTAAATTAAATGTCCCCAGCCGTTTCCTCAGTAAAAGCTGTTTAATCCAGTTTGTCTTAGTAGTTGTTGTTGTGTGCCTTCAAGCTGATTTCAACTCAGAGTGACCCCATGTGACAGAGTAGAACTGCCCTATAGTGTTTCCTAGGCTGTAATCTTTATGGGAGCAGATCACCAGGTCTTTCTCCTGCAGAACCTCTGAGTGGTTTCAAACTGCCAGCTTTTTCAGTTAGCAACTGAGCACTTAACTGTTGTGCCATCAGGGCTCCTTAATTTGTCTTAGAAGCCTCATTAATTGGTACTTTCTTGCCCTACTGGTTGATGTTCATAATGAGGATTTGGAGATAGTATCCCACTATACCATTTTGAAACATCATACAGATACGGTCAGCCAAATTTTTTTAAAAACTTTTTGAAACAATCTCAAACTTACAGAAAAGTTGCGAGTATGGTATAAAGAACTTTTCTTTCTTTACTTCATTTGAGAGTAAGTTGCTGAAATGACGTCCCATTACCTCTGAATACTTTAGCGTTTTGTGCAAAGACATTTTCCTATATAACCACAATATAAATACTAAAATCAGGAAATTAACATTGATACATTGTTGTTTGGTGCCATCAAGTTGGTAGCTCATTGCTACTGGGATGTTGCTGTATTCATATACACGCATTTATGTTTATTTCTATCGCTTTTCCTTTATACATATTGAAAACTTCAGAATTCACACAGATACCTCCAATTTCAGTCCAACACCAGAGGGTTCATTTTAGTTTTCTTTCTTTCCAGATTTCACTCCTTTCTCAACAGTAAGAAATCTGGTTCCTTTTTCCCTAAGTATGTATTTATTTGGTCAGTTCACCTGTATGTAGCCAATTTCCCACTATTGCTTCTGCTGCCATCCCACTCTCCTCTCATGCTCTGACACCTGGCACTGATCCCCCCATCACACAGAAACCCGCCTCATTTAGCGTGGGTTCTGACTCCCTGTGTGGGTCCACTATGAACACAGATGTCTTCTTCACTCTGCATGGTCTCTGACACTCCTCTCTGGCCACCGCAGCTACCTTCTTGCCACTGGGTATGGACAAGGGCCTTGCTTGGCCCCACTTAATGACTGTAGGATTGAGTTGTTCAGGAAGGGAAAGGATGGGATGGGATAGCAGGAGAAGAAGGAAAGGAAGAGGATGTTAATCACATTTATTTGATTAATCAAGTCATTTCATTTTCTGACCAAGCAAGAGAGAGAGGCCACTGATTGTTTGACAGTTATAGGTAAGATACCCTAAAGGAGTTTATTTCCAAAAACTAACGGAAGTAGAAAATCAATTAAGATTGTCAGTTTTACTTTTCTAAGTGACTTTTAAGTGCCACCACGAATAGCAGCAACAGGTGATTATGCTGTAATAGTTGAATTTTGGTTAACATAAATATACCTTTTATTTGTAAATCCTTTAGATTTATAAAGTGCTTTAATATGTCATTACTTTTATTCACATGATAATTCTGTGGAGAAGGCAGGATACGGACAGCTTTTAATTTTTCCCATTTTAATAACATGGAAACTGAGAAACAGTGAGCTAAAGAGAATTTCCAGTGCCACAAGGCTGATAAATGCACAGTCAGTAGAATTCAGTGTTTTTGATGTTTAATTCAGGACTCTTTTTCAAAGTACTAGTGTTTTGTAGTTTTGAGGCAAGAACCTCTTTAAACCAAAAGTTAAATATGCAAAGCTGATAAATTTAGAGTTATTTCTCTATTCTTCTTTTCCTAAAGCACACCCATGTACCAATCTACATTTATGCGTTACCCCCAAAGGGGTTCTCTGGAACCCGAAAGGCTTTCTGGAACACAGTTTGAAAACTCTTGGATCACGTGAGGCTGCGTCTATTAAAGGCCTTATTCCCTTATATGATTTTGTTGTTGTTAGTTGCCATAGAGTCAGCCCCGACTCGTGGTGACCCCGTGTCCAACACCACATATACACTTATATAATGAACTTCCACGTAGCCATCATCCAGCTTCAGAAATTCCCAATTTGCTAATCTTGTTTTATCCATCCAATTGTCTCTCCTTTCTTTCTTTTTTCCTTTTTCTCCTGAACTCTTTAAATTGCAGGCATAATACTCTTTACGTAAAAATAAGGACATTCTCTTACATCACCACAGTACAGTTATCAAAATCAGGAATTTAACACTGATAGAATACTGTTAGCCAATTTACAGACCTTATTTAGATTTTCCCAATTGTTCTAATATTCTAATGATCATGAGTTTCATTTAATTGTTATGTCTTTTTAATCTTCTTTAATCTAGAACAGTTCTTTAGGCTTTTCTTGTCTTTTATGGCCTTGAAAATTTTGACGAATACGGACCAGTATTTTTTATAGAATGTCTATCAATTTGGGTTTGTCTGCTGTTTCCTCATGATTAAATATGGGTTATGTATCTTTGCCAGCAATAATCCAGAAGTGGTGCATCTTAGCAGAAACATGTGATGTCAGTGTGCCTCATTATTGCTGACTAAGGTAGTGTCTGCCAGGTTTCTACACTGAGAAACTGGGTAAAGCCTCAGCTGCTAACAGAAAGGTCAGCAGTTAGAACCCAGTAGCTGTTCCCTGGGAGAAAGATGTGGCAGTCTGCTTCCATGAAGATTACAGCCTTGGAATCTCTATGGAGGAGTTCTGCTTTGTCCTATAGGGTCACTTGGAGTTAGAATTAACTTGACAGCAATGGGTTTATGGGACTGTAAAGTTACTTTATTTCTTTTTGTAATTAATAAGTATGTACTTGGATGAATACTTTGAGATTATGTAGATATCCTGTTACTTGTCAAATGTTAATCCACTAGTTTTAGCATTGATATATGATTTTTGCCTAAATTAGTTGTCACTGAGATGGTTGCCAAATGACAATTTCCTAAGTTCATCATTTCTTCTGTAGTAGTTGGAATTCTACTGTAAGAAACAGTTTCCCCTTATTCTTTATGTATGTATGTATGAACGTATGTGTTTATTATCACCGTGGATCCATGGATGTATATTTTTATATTTTTATGTGTTCATTGCCACTGGGCCAGATGACTTATTTGCTAGTGGATCTGATGATTTTAAAAAAAAATTGTGGTATGTATATATATATATATATAAAACTCATTGCCATTGAGTCAATTCTGACTCATAGCAACCCTATAGGACAAAGTAGAACTGCCCCATAGGGTTTCCAAGGAGCAATGCTGGATTTGAACTGCCAACCTTTTGGTTAGCAGCCAAGCTATTTAACCACTGCACCACCACGGGTCTGCAGATTGAACATACCGTATATACTTTAGAAAAATGAATATTTGCATTGTTTTCTTTTGGCAGCATGCATATGCACTAGAACTCCTATTTGATCAGTTGCATGAAGGAGCTAAAGCTCTTGATGTAGGATCTGGAAGTGGAATCCTTACTGCGTGCTTTGCGCGTATGGTAAGAACCTAATTTTTCATTTTAGCCCCAACAGAAGCATATTATATGATTTGGCTCATTTTTTCACTACTAGTTTTTGAGGGTTGTTTTTTAATTCTGTTAAGATAGCAGTTGGAATATGTATCACTTATGATATTTTTTGGTTGCACGTGACAGAACACTCAACCTAAACTGGGAAAGCTAAAAGGGAATTTATATAATGAAAAGTCTAGGAATATATCTGGCTTCTGGTGACTTCAGCTGTTCCTTTACCTTGATTTCTCATTGCAGAATATGACTTTCGATAAGGAAATACTTTAATGACACCTTAGAAAACAGATTTAGCCCAATGAGTTACTAAATTCTTCTCTCTTTCCTAGGTTGGACCTACTGGAAAAGTCATAGGAATTGATCACATTAAGGAGTTGGTAGACGACTCAATAAATAACGTCAGAAAGGATGACCCAATGCTTTTGTCTTCAGGGAGGGTGCGTCTGGTTGGTGAGTTTCAGAAAACTGAAAACATTTCCTCCCGAGAGAATTTTTATTTTCAGAAAATGCCATGCAAGCTAAATAATATTCAGAGCTAATTACTGCATTTTTAAAATTCACTTTCAAGTACTAAAAAGAAGCAGTTGCTCTAAAATGTTAACTGGTTCCGCCTTGTCCATGGGTAACATAACTGTTAAGTATTTCAGATAATACCCATGTTGGCTTTTTAAGTAATAGAAAAGTAATAAATGTCCACTATAAAAAATTTAAACAGTGTATAAATGTGTAAGATAAAAAAAATGAAAACCTTCCTGTCTCCCTGTAGCTTTGTTTTAATGCACATATTTCCACGTAAGCACATTTTGTATTATTGCAAAATACAGTAGATATATAAAAAGTACATAAAACATAAATGTAAAGCTTAAACTGTAAAACAAACACCTGTGTAATCACCATGCTGATTAAGAAATGAAACATTATTAACACTTTAGCAGTCCAGTGCTTGTTTTTTCCTGATCATAACTCTCTCCCTTCTGTCTAGTGGTATCAAGTATCCTTACTTTTGTATATTTACTACCTAATTGCACATCCATAAAAATGCTTAATTTTGACTTTTTGAACTCTAGATAAATGGAACCATACAGTAGATATTCTGTGGTGAATGACTTCTTTCATTCAATATTATGTTTGTAAGATTCAGCCATCTTTTTGCATATAGTTCATTTTCATTGCAATATAGCTTTCCAGTATAAGAATATTACCAACGTTTGTTTATTAATTCTACCATAGATGAATGTTTGAGTTGTTTCTGGTTTGGGCATATTTACAATGCTACTGTGAACATATTTGTACAAAAGTCCTCGTGCATATATACACTCAGCATACAAACACTCATTTCTGTAAGGTATATTTCTAGGAGTGTTACTGCAGGGTCATAGGGTGACCGTAGATACTGCCAGACTGTTTTTGAAAGTGATGGAACCAATTTACATTCCACCAGCAGTGTAGGAGGGTTCTGTGCTCCACATCTACCCCCACACTTGATATTGTTAGACTTTTCTTTTTGCCCATCTAGTGAGTGTTTAGCAGTGTCTCTTTGGTAAATTTTGCATTTTCCTGGTAACCAGTGAAGTTGAATACTTTTTCATATGTTTGACCATTTGGATTTACTCTTTTGTAAAGTGCCTGTTCAGATGTTGGTTGTCTGTGTTTTTCTTTGATTTATAGGACTTCTGGAGGCTAGCCCTTTGTCTGCTTATACATATTATAAATAGCCTCTCCCACTCTGTGGCATGCCTTTTCACTCTCTTATTGGTATCCTTTTGATAAATAGAAATTCTTAGTTTTAGTAGGAAGACTTAACTGATTTTTTCGATTGCTTTCTATGTTCTGTTAAGACTACCCTCCGTGTTGAAGAAAACCCGTTGCTGTCAAGTTGACTCTGACTTAGGGTGACCCCTTATGTGTCTAGTAGAACTATGCTGCTTCAGGTTTTTAATGGCTGATTTTTTGGCAGTAGATTGCCGGGCCTTTCTTTTGAGTGCCTTGGGGTGGACTCAAGCCCTCAACTTTTCATTAGCAGCAAGTGCATTAGTCATTTGAATCACCCAGGTAAGTCCACCCAGAGGTGCCTCAGAAGAAAGGCCTGGTGATGTGCTTTTGGAAAATCAGCCTTTGAAAACTCTGTGGAACAAAGTTCTACTCTGACACACATGAGGTCACCGTGAGTTGTGAGTGACTCGACGGCAATTGGTTGTTTTTAAAGTTATGAAGCTATTTCCTTATATTATTTTTTTGAAGACTTATCATTTTTACTTTACACATTTAGGCCTTTGATCTTTCTGAAATTGATTTTTGTGTGTGTATGAGGTAGGAGTCTAATTATATTTTTTCCATATCAATGTTCAGTTGTCCCAGCATTATTTATTGAAAAATCTGCCCTTTCCCTCATTGCAAACCTTCTACAGTATAATTCTTCACACTAGGTAGATGTGTCTGAACAGACTTTTAAAGCTCACCTTTTTTCTCTTTCAGTGGGGGATGGAAGAATGGGCTATGCCGAAGAAGCTCCGTATGATGCTATTCATGTGGGAGCTGCAGCCCCAGTTGTGCCCCAGGCAGTGAGTGTTTCCTTTTCTGTGTTTGTGTGCTTTGTTCAACCCAAACCCTAAAGCTTTATATGGAGATGTCTTCTAGGTGATGTTCAAAATATAATGACACTTTTATGTGGTGCATTTTGTTAGTTGGTACTTTTTTTTTTTAATATGCAAACAGTTGCATAAATGACTTGAAAGTTACTTAACCCCAGCTCATGGCTTTCTTGCTTCAAGCAGTGTTTGATCCAGCTAAGAACTGGGAAGATCTCTTTGGAGTTCATGAGCTGAGAATTAGTATGGTGTTTCATTAAGCACCAGAATATGATGCAAGACTTTGTTAGGTGCATGGGTAATGCCAGGAAGTATTTGCGATACATTTTACCTTTATTAGCTTGTATTTTAGAAGTGTGTCATACACAAAGGGAAGTTAATGATGGCCTGTCATTTGGATATGATAGATATTGAATGGAAAAGAACGTATGCACTGTAGGAGTTCAGGGGAGGGAGAGAATTTTGCATAGAGTGGTCAGAGAGACTTCATAGAGGAATGGAACTTGAACTGAATCTTAAAGAGTAGTAGGATTTGTATAGTTGACAGTGATAGGAAAGGATATTTCAGTATTGTATATTACATAGTCAAGGAAATGTTTTAAGTAAAATATTGATTTTTCATCTTAGTAAGACTCTGATAAGCTTATGTCAGCCCTTGTAATAACCCGTAATTGAATTCACTAGCGTCTTTGGTTTCTCTTACATATCAGTTTTACATAGTTCTTGACTTGATGAAAGGGACTGAAAGTGACACAGTCTATTCTTCCCAGTCTCATCCACCGCCAACCTGGGAGGGGTTCTTTTTTGCATGTGTAGATCAGCTGTGAGAAACTGAAAGTTGGGGGATTTGTTCAGCTTAACTAGTGAAAAGGTCTGCCTTGAGCATTATGCTCTTTTAAGAACTGTCTACATGGGATTGAATTTAGGTATTAACATAATATAGAAAAGTGTACAAGCCGTAAATGAGCAGCTTAACAAATTTTCATATATTAACACATGACCGGTAGCTTTTTAGCCTTCTTGTTTTTTTTTTTTTTTTTTAAATATTGGCAGCCTAATATGAGTAGTTAAAATCTGAAATAGAATTGTGTTTAAGTGAAGGGATTGGGATCTTCAGTTCACAATTTCATAATTATGATATTGGATATATTGGGGGAAAGGCGCCAAATGTATGTAAGAGAGCTCAGTCCTCACCTAGCATATTTGAAATATAAAGGTAAATACTGGAAGACACAACTAAGGATTTAAAATGACTGGATTTAAGGAGCAGGATTGGTATGGGGGAAGATGTATACTGTTTACATTATAAGCCTTGAAATTTAGAAAAACAACTGAAAGTATTTTTAAGTATTACTTTGATAAAAATTAAAATGGAAAAAATATGATAGACTTACTGAAAACCAAAATAATAATTGAAAGGCACTCTTCCCTTGGGTAACAGTACCCAAAGTAAGGTTTGTTTCTTACTGTTTTTGATTAGTGGTGATCTGTAAGGCTGCAGATGGCAATGTATGCCTTGAAAGTTTTGTGACTGGAGAGTCTTTCATTGAGTGGTCTTGGTTCTTCATGGACAGGGGTGTCCTCATTCAAGTGCTGCAGGACTCCAGCCCTACTTTTTCTCCATGTGGTACCTAAATGCAGTCATGAAACTAGGCTTCCCTTTTCTTTGGTTCCATGTTGCCCTACCCTCTACAATAATAGGATAGGGATTCTTTGCTGATTTTCTACAACTCCCATCCAACCCAAGACAGACTCAGCTGTAGTTGACTTTTCTGCTTTGTCCTTGATCTTCCCAAGAGGAAAGTTCTACATTGTATGGTTCAGTTCAAACATTTTGAGCACTGCAGTTGTACTTTAGTTAAATTCTAGGGTTACAAAGATGAGTAAGACACAGTCCCTGTCCTCAAGGAACTTGTAGTTTAGTAGGAGAGGCTGATACATGAATAAGTGAGTAATTGAGTTATAAGTAAAACAAAGAATGTATATTGAGGTACATGTTTACTTTCTACCCAGGGATACTGAAAGTTGTTTATATTGAAGTAAAATGACCGTTAATATAAAATATATAACTTGGTATATATCTGGTTTTCTTTCTCTTTTAGCTAATAGACCAGCTAAAGCCTGGTGGAAGATTGATACTGCCAGTCGGTCCGGCAGGTGGAAACCAAATGTTGGAGCAGTACGACAAGCTACAAGATGGCAGCATCAAAATGAAGCCTCTGATGGGGGTGATATACGTGCCTTTAACAGATAAAGAAAAGCAGTGGTCCAGGTGGAAGTGATTTTCTCTTCTGCTCTTTCTTCTTCCACACTTGCAAGGTGAAAGGGTGGATTTTAAGACCTTAGACTGCAAGAGCTGCTCTTTTGGTTTTTGCCTTTATGCTACCCCATCGTAACATCAGAAACTCATTGCATTAAAAATGTAGAAAAATTCTGCATGGTCCCTTCTTTTGGTTTAACTCATATCTTTGGGTAATGGGTGGGTGAGACTTGGCTAGCACCAAAGATGTTTGCTTTATTTCCAAGAGACCTTCAGACACAGTTCAGTACTTTCTAAGGATACTTGATTCTTCATTAGCCACCCCGTGTTTCTGTATTTACAAATCCTTTTTACAGCTGCTGTATGGTCATGGAAACAAAAGCTTTGGTTTGGAAGAGAAGGAGCCATCATTTCCTGCCCTGCTTTCTGCTGGGAAAAGATACAGCTGTCCCAGTTTTCTAAAGTGTCAGGTTCCCAGAGAGAACATTCTATCTCTCGGCTTGATTTCCCTCTTCTAGTCAGATTCATAGATGTCTGACAACCTGTGCCTGTTTTACATTCAGCTGCTGTTGCAGAGCTCCAGAAGGAATAAGCTTCTCACCATTCTGTAGAACAGGACAGTCTGTTTTTAAGCTGCTGTAGCTAAGTTCCTGAGGAGAGCAGGGGATTTGATAAGCTACTCAGTGAGTGCCCAGGTCTCACAAACCCACCCAAAAGGCCAGTAGCATGCAGCATGATCTTCACGCAGCATGGCTTATTATAATACAATGCCTACTTCTGTGTCTTAGCACAATTTGCATATTTTATTTGCAGCCAAGATTTCTTTCTTCCTTCCTTGCCTTCTCCAATGGGAGAGGTGAGATCAATAAGTAAAAGTAACATCAGCTAAGATTGTTTCAAGTTAAATGCCAGAATAAGAAAGGCTTATAGCTTCCTTGTTTTAGAGTCTATTTTTATTTGACAGTAAGATACTTATTTTTTAATCAGTCAGTAAAATTATGATTATAAACTTAATAGATGTCTCAATTTTGTTTTCTGAAAAGAGGAAAGGCACTTTTTGAGTGAATGTTTAATTGTAAAAGTGGTAATGAATCTAACTCAATTTGTTAAAAACTGAGTTTTACTTAAATTCACATCGGTCACTGAACTCTAACCTGGAGCACAGCCACTTCTTAACAAAAGTCATTTAAAAAGTTATTAGTCTTTTCCATTAGAATCAGGTAGAGTTACTAACAAGTAATTATGACCTTTCTTCACTTTGCTTCTAGTATGGTTATGCCCTTACATAATTGTATGATTGCCATTGTACAAAAGAGGCAAAGATATCACTGAAATTACTGAAATTTGATACCAAGAGTTCAGATTTTCATTATTAAGTTCTTTTCTTTTTATACATAGTAAATGTTAATACTGAATATACCACCTATGATTTAATAATGAAAGGATTACAAAACGGTGTTTTGTTTTATAACCAGAGGTGGATTTATCATGAAGCTAATGAAGCTCAAGCTTCTGGGCATCTCACTTGCATGGAGTCCTTTCATGGCCACCAACCTGATTTTACATGCATAGTCTTGCTTTTTTCTTTTTTCCTTTCATGAAGAAACCCTCAATTATATAACCTTTGTTGTTAGCTGCAGTCGATTCAGTCCTTGGCTCATGGCAACCCCGTGCACAGCAGAACAAAATGCTGCCCAGTCCTGCACATTGACATGATTGGTTGCGGATTGGACTGTGTGAGCCATAGGGTTTTCATTGGCTGTTCGGAAGTAGATCGCTAGACCTTTTCTTCCTAGTCTGTCTGGAAGCTCTGCTGAAACTCACTCATCATAGCAACATGCAGGCCTCTACTGACAGACAGGTAGTGGCTGTGCTGCTCATGAGGTGCATTGGCCAGAAATTGAACCTGAGTCCCCTGCATGGAAGGCAGGAATTCTTAGGCCCCCATGAAACCTGGGTCCACCTCTGATTAAACCAAACTAATCTGTGTCTAAAAAATTAGAATGATTTTTAAATTTATGGGCAATTATTCAGTCATTTGCCAAATATTTTAATGTGTACTGTTTTTCTTTTTGGCCTTCGAATTACAAAAAAAAAAAAATTGAGCAATTTTACATTTGCATCATTGGAAAACTTTTTTCTAGTTGTACTATCAGTACTTTCTAATTTTTTCTGTTGTAGATTTTCTACCTATTGAAACACATTTTCCTACATCCAAAAAAATGTGGTTCAGTTACTTGATTGTAAATCTGAAAGTTTAAAGTATATTATCAAAGATGAAACAAAATCTGAAGACTGAATTAAAAAAAAATGGCCACATTTAAAAAAAAATCAGTGTTAAAAAGAAACTACTGGAAAATAGGATGCTTGTGAGGGTAAAACATGAACAGTTAAACTCTTAAGAGACTGTCACTCTCCTGTTCCTATTTGTGTTTATAAACTCTGACAGAATCCAGGCAGGAAACAGAAGGCATCCTCAGCTAGGATTCTGAAGTGATTTTAATGAAGAGGCTATTCAGGGAGATGTGGAAAAGGTTGTGGAAACCAGTAAAGGGTGTTGACACACCCAGGGATTTGCAACAGCAGGAAGCTGTTTCCACTCCTACACTTAAAGGTGCGAGGGGAGGAAACTTTCACTGGAACCCACTGAGAGCAGGGCAGCAGAAGCCAGCAACCCCATGCACAGCAGAACAAAACACAGGCTGTTCGGGGGCAGGTGTGTGTGTGTGTGTGGGAGCATCAGATAGGAGCTGAAGTGATAGAGGGATGTGACTACTACCAGAACTTTGACTACCTCAGCTTCTCTCCTCCTGCCCTCTTATCAATTACGAGAGCATCATATGAGCCAGAGAGGAATAGGCCCTGTGGCAAATGGAGTCTGAAACCAGCTCCCCACCAACTTCTTTCCTCTCCCCCCAGCAGAGACCCCTGCTTCTTTTAAAATTTAGGTTTGGAATAGACTTGAGAAATCATCTAAGCCTTGTGTGCCCTACTTCTCTCCCCTTCAGGCCAATCTGTTTAAACTGTTCTTGACAGAAAGAATGTGTTTAATTTAAATTGCCTTGGAAAAGCAACATGTTACACTTTTCTCTGGTAATTTATTCCGTCGTCAAATCACTGTCAGTGTGAGGATCCTCTTAATCTCGTTCATTCATTTAACAAATATTTGTGTACCCACTATGCCAGGCACTGTGCTATGTGCCAGGAATATACAGCTGCAAATGTGAAACTAACTTGTTCTCATGGAGCTTACAGTCATGTAGAGATACAAATAAAGATAGGCAATTACAGTGTAGTATGTTTGGACTTGCGCTCCATTGCTAACCTAAAGGTTTGAGTTCACCCAGAGGTGCTTCTGAAGAAAGGCCTGGAGATCTGAAAAATCAGCCATTGAAAACCCCATGGAGCACAGTTCTACTCAGACACATACGAGGTCACCATGAGTCAGAATTGACTCCATGGCAAGTTTTTTTGGGGGGTGTTTGGTTTCTGCCTTGAGAGCAGTAGGGAGCAATTAAAGTTTTTAAGCCTGGCAGTGAAGTTACCGGAATTACAATTCCAAAAGATAACTCTAGCTTTGGTGTGGAGAGTAGATTGGAAAGAGACCAAACTAGAGTCAAAAACAGAGGTTGTCATAGCAATTCAAGGGTGAAATGATGGTGGCCTGAATTAAGGCAATGGTAGTGAGGATAGAAGAGGATTGGTAGCTATGTCTAGTGTGACTAAAAGCCTACTCCCTCATGCTCTTGTTTGTGTAGATGAAAAATAATTGCTTACCATTTTCTAAGTACCTATCCATATTTGGGAATTATCATCTAAAAAACTTGTTAGCGTCTTGCCAGGCTAGGTGGTTTCTTTTAAGTTTCTTCAGGATTAATTTAGCAACTCATCATAGTGCTTTTCCATGAACCTTCTTTTATTTCTCACCATCCTTCGATCTTCTCTTACTGAGGAGTCCAGAGTAGGTGGAGTACTTTGGTGAAAGTGAGATCCAGTCTTTGTTGAGGAGGTATAAGAGGACCAGGAGCTAGAAACCATATGAAAAAAATTAGAACCAAAGTGAGCATGCTGAATTATAGTACCAAATAAAGCGACAAACCAGAATGTAGACTTGTGTTTCCGGTACTTGGAAAACATCACCTGTATTTCCGGTGGATTAAAAGGGGGAGATTGCCAGATCTATGGAGTATAGACTAGAATCTGTGGGATTACGGTCATGACTATTGATGTGTAATAGTTGTATTGGTTGTTTCAGAAACTCTTAATACTTTTTAAATTTATATTTTATTTTAAATAAGTACATTTACATATAAATCAATATTTTGTTAATGTTCTGGTAAAAGTTTTACTTTTGTTTTTAATATCTTTGGTAAGCAAGAGTCAATGCAATAGGTTCATCTCTAGTTTGTGAAACAGGAATATTTCAGGATTATCATTCCATAAGTATTTTGTTTATTGATATCTTTTTAAAGTGCCACGCACACATGAAAAAGATGTTGTGAATTGATCAGGCATTTCTAAGATTGACAGTATAGGGCCTAGGTATCCAGTTGATTCTGTGCTCTCTTGTCTCTTTTTTATGTGTGTTACAGCATTGTGACAATATTGTACATCCTTAGGGGCAGGGATGAATTCTGGTTCTTTGGAAATCTTTTTATGTCTTTCGAATGCTTATTACCTCAGAAAACTCATTGCTATCAAGTCGATTCTGACTCATTGCAGCCCTATAGAACAGAGTAGAACTGCCCCATAGGGTTTCCAAGGAGCAGCTGTGGATTCAAACAGCTGACCTTTTGGTTAGCAGCCAAACTCCTAACCACTGCGCCACTAGGGCTCAGAAAGTCCATTAAATTATGAGAAAACATTTATGGATTTTGATTGTTGTTTTATTTGTTAGGCATGGAGTTACTCTAGTTATGAACATGATGTATTTATATACAGTAATTTCAAACAGCCTTTCTAAAAATTTAGGATATACTGCTTTTTATTGTAAGTGATCTATGCATTCAGTCAGATAAAGAAAGATATATAGAATTGTAAACATTAGGAAAAATGAGTAACAAAAGTTACTAAATGGATTTTGGAGTATTAGGAGGTGACAAGGTTGTATATGCACTGGCAGTAAATATTTTCCCCTTGAAGCCTGTATTTTAAAATCCAGGTCTATAACTTAATTTCTTTTTCTTTATTAAAAAAATCTAAACAACGATAGGGAGAGTATTTGGCAAAGTTGCTGTACTATGTTTTTGATGGAACATTAAGGTTTATTTACAGTATCCTTAATGCCTTGCAACAGCTCAATGAAATGTGGTCACTTATTGTAAAAAACCCAATAGTATCATCAGTCCGTATTTAAAAAAAAAACAAGTAAATTCATTTTAGTTTATGAATAGAACACTACATCTGCAAGTGAATTCCTTCAGATTAAATATTTTCATGGTTGCGTGAATTTAAGTAAAAGCTGTTATATGAGAGTCATAGTACTACTATTTGATAATGTGTACCTTTGGAAGAGTATCTTAAGGTGAATCAGAACTGATAGTTTATCATTTAACAGATATTCCAATACTGTTATGACAAAGACAGTTTATAGGAAAAGTAATTTTTAAAATATTTTCTTGCATAATTTTTAAAATTCAGTTTTTAAAAAAGCAAATTATCTGATAATCCCTTAATTCGCCATTTACCTGTGAAATATAAGTTCTTTATTTCACCTTCCCTTTAAAACTTATTTTGACAACTTTCATTTTTAAATTTTTATTACAGGCAAGTTGCAAGAATAGTACAAAAAACTCCTGAATTCCTTTATCCAGAGTTACCAATTAACATTTTTCCATATTTGCTTTGTCGTTCTCTCTCTGTACACATATATATATTTACGAAATTTTTTTTCCCCTGAATCATTTGAAATTTAGTTGGAAACATCGTGACTCTTTATTCCTAAAGTACTTGAGTGTCTACTGATGTTTTTGTTATTCAGATCACCCTCAGATATGAGGCTTTTCTGGTTGGTTGGTTTTCTCCCACTTTTAACAGCTTTGTTGAGGTATAGGTTATATAACATGCCATTTATTTTAGACGGCATCTTTATGATTCCTTCCTTCCTCTCACTGGCAGTTGCTGGCACAGTGCTGCACTCTGCTGAGCAAATGGTTTCGTTTGGAGCTGATAAAGCTGCCTTATGAAATCAGCTGACAGGTATATTATACCTACAGGTGATGCATTTTCTCCCAAAGAATTTGGGTTGAGATTGACCCTGTGAACAATTGCCAACAGACACTCAAAGCAAAGGACTAAATTTTTGTCCAATTTTGTGAATGTAACTATAAAATTTTATAAATCATTTAAACTCTCAATACTCAAGTCATCATTTTACAATAAATAGTATTAGCACGATGATCCTAGATCTAAAACAGTTGTGATTTCCCTGAATTATTCATCTTGAAGGAAGAAAGTTATCTTTAGAATTAAGGAACAGAGAACTCAGGACCTTTAAGTTTCATACTTCACTCTGGAGCGGCAGGAAAGATGTTTGAAGTGGCTGACTTCCATTTTTGCTTTGATTTTGGATTGTTCGCTTTTTTTTTTTTTTTTTTTTTTTTTTTTTGCAATTTACAAAATGTAAAATACTTTATATACTGGTATTGTATTTGTGTTACTATTACATGTTTTTTTTTTTTTTGAATATATTCTTGGGATCAGTGCATTTTTACTGATTTAATAGTTGTATCTAAGCTATTAGAAAGCTGAATTTTGGGGTCTGTAATTATTTATATTTCTTTCTCTTTCCCCTGCAGGGATGAACTGTAAAAGCAACATCAGCTTGACCAGTACGTAATATTACAGTGGATTGCTCATCTCAGTCCTCAGCTTTTTGAAAACCAACAGCATCACAGCTTGTTTTGGACTTTGTTACACTATTATTTTCAGCATGAAAATGTGTGGTTTTATAGGGTTTCTAATTTTCAAAGAGGCACAGAGCCAAATTAGTAGATGAAGGATGCAAAGTATAAATTTGTGTTTATTACTTTAACATGCCCACATTTTACTTTAAAATATTAAAAGAAGCAGTTCTACAAAATGGAAAACTTAAGTTTGTGAATTCTGATTTTGAGGAGTGATTTCTTTTCTTGGACACTTAATTCGCTTGTGATATTAATTTATCAGATTGCTTTTGTGCATCAGATAACACCACCTTTCACATGTTAAGATTCTTGCTATTTGGATGTCTGATAGATGCTACTAAGAAAATAGAGATGAGCTTCCCTTTTTAAAGCTTTGATGTGGTGTCATAGAATAGCATGTTGTAGATACAATCAGCTGCTTTGTTACCTTAAAACTAAGCATTTGTAAATATTAAAACTTAAGATGGCAGGTGATGTCCCTTAACACACTCAGCTGTTCCGATTGGACATAACTGTCATAGTGCTTCCTTTCTCTCTTTAAAAATTATAGGAGACTTGTAGCTCAGTATTGTTTCTGTTTCTGATTTGCTGATAATGTATATGGATTTCACATGCTGTGTAAGCTGTGTCCTAGTTACTGAACAGTTTATGCAGTGCTGCTTTGCCAAATAAAGTTAAAAGTAAAAGAGGCATTGGTGGTGTTTGAATATGGAGGAAAGAACATGTCCACCAGACACAGATCACGGAGGAAGAATTGTTTCCCTGATGCTCCCTTTGTGTAATCTGAGTAGGTACATAGCATGAATCCAGTTGTACATTTGTTGAACGTGAGTACATTCCCTGAAGACAAGGACCATACCTCTTTTGTCATATTTCTCTGCCTAGCACAAGGTTTATCCTGTAGCAGATGTACAATAAATGCTGAATGAATGAGTGAATAATTGGCTTAATGTTAGGGAAGAATAGAGTTGGGGATGAACATATCAAAATCCATCTCTCTCCTATAAATAGATTTATTACATGATGATTTTAACATGAGTTTATAAGGAGGCAGTAGTGCTTTGGAATCTTGTTTAAATATTGTGGGTTTTTTTATACCTCTTATAAAAGGATCATAGTTTTTCTGAGGATTCTAGAACTTGGGGAAATATAAGCTCTAGAACTACAAGAATAAGCACTCCCAGCCACGCCCTTCCCATGCTGTGCGTGACTTTGCATAATCAGGCAAGTAGGTCCTTAGTGGACTGGAGACCCCTCTCCCCCTACCTCTTAAGTATTAGACTTTAAATTCTAATTTAAAAAATCTTAAATATTACCTCTATTTTTTCTTTAAAAATCACGCATACATCTTTTCACAAGTGTCTGTCCTTGGGTGAGGTTTTAGACACAGGAAACTTTTAGGTGTTAGCTAGCATTATTTGGTGGCCAGAACTCTGAGTTTAAGTTCACTGCTGGCTTCAGTTTGCTGTTGCTGTTTATTGCTTCTGGACCCAGACCATAAGCCCTCACGATCCAGGACTCTGTGTCATTTGAAGTAGTTAGAGGGCAAATATTCTTTAGAACTTAAAAATGAAATTAATTCTTAAACTTATCCATCAATCTATATCTTCCACACCCATTGCTAACATTTTATTGTCTGTAAATCCCCGTGTTAGCTTTTGGGAATAGAAAAAGGCCCTTACTCTTGCAGAGGTTGTAATCTAGTTGAGGAGACAGTTGAAAAATATGGTGAGACAACTCAGGGCCACCTGATTGGTGGAGACAAGTGCTATGCCTTAAAACATTGTTCAAGCATTGCTCTTGGGCTTTACACTTGTGAATTAAAACTTTTTAAAATGTTGAATCAACAGGAATGGATTTTAAGGGAACACCAATAAATGAGTAGAGAGAAATAATGAATTACAACTAGGTCTAAGAGCTTTTCTTTACAAGAGGGTTGACTTTATGTATGTGTGTAGGTCACAGATAAGAAATGTCTCTTTAATCTTTAGTAATAATTTCTAAACTATTTCAGTGTTTCATTTTTCCATAATAGAAATTATTTCTTTACATAACACAGAGGGCAGCAATGAAAATATTTCAAAAAGTCCTAACCTAGTGAGGTCCCATTAAAACAAGGTTTGTGCTATGGATTTGGTTTTATCAAAGCCAAATTTAGTTCTCAAAATTTATAAAATAGAAGCCTGAATTATTAAGAATTTTACTTTATATCGAAGGTTTCAACTCTTTTTCAGCTGGTAACATTAGAAAAAAATGTGACTTCAGAAAAAATAATCCATTAACATTTTCTATGCAAATATTAAAAATTCCATTGCCCTAATTAATTTAAAAAAAAAAAAATCTGTCTTGGAAGAAGGACAGCCAGAATGCTCCTTAGAAGTGAGGATGACAAGACTTCATCTTACATACTTTGGACATGTTATCAGGAGGGACCAATCCCTGGAGAAGAACATCATGCTTGGTAGAGGGTCAGCAAAAAAGTAGAAGACCCTCAATGAGATTGACTGACACAGTGACTGCAACAATGGGCTCAAACATAGCAATGATTGTGCGGATGTCACAAGACCGAGCAGTGCTTCATTCTGTTGTACGTAGGGTTGCTATGAGTCGGAGCTGACTCAACAGCACCTAACAACAATTAAAAAAAAAAAAAAAAGCCATTGTTAAAAAAAAAAGTTGAACTCTTAGTTAAAATGTACCTACGCTAAAGCATTTAAAAATTTAGTGGATTCAAAAATAGAGTAACTTTAAATAACGTAATGCTTTTGAATTCTTTGAAGCTATTGTTGGTAAGTCTTAAATTTAGGTAAGTGAAGGGTATACGTAATCATTCCCTACAATTTATTGTGTTCTTAAATAACTATACCTCAGTAAAATGATTTCTGATTAGATTTCAGTTGCATCTCTCTTGGTTTCTCCTACCGTGTTTCAGAAGGATGACAGTGTTTTGGCTCAGATAAAGGATAGCTCAAATAGAGTGCCAGTGAAGGAATCCTGCTCAAAGAAAACTGGCTGGCCCATGGGACCCAAGAAACTTTGTGTATTGTGATATAATAAAAAAGAGATCAAGTCCAGCCATTTCCTTACCTTCAGCTGCCATGGCTACAATATAATTGTTGGTTCCCCACTTTGGGCTTCATCTTCTTAGTTGATTTTGTCATTTGGGCCAGGACACTCTATAGAGAAGTGCCCCATTGGTTGTTGGGAGGAAAAAAATAGAGTGACATCTCACTTTCAGTTCCCATGGAGTGCTTCGCTGGGCTAGTGAATCCTTGGGAGCCTCCGACCTTTTTTTCCTTCCTTCCATCATGAGAGGAGGGTCTAGAGCTGCTGGGTCTGAGGAGCTCATCCTTACTCAGATGGATGGTCCCAATAGGATGAGCATCATAGAAGATTTTCTTTGCCCAAAGGGAGGTGGTGGCAACACTGAAGGCATTTTAGGTGTGAAAGGGAAGCAGTCCAGGGGCCTGGGGCAGTTGAGGACATTTGTATTTGAAGCCCCACATCCTGAAGCCTAGAAATTAACATTATGGATCAAAACCACTACAGAATATCCATGTAAACTCTACTGTATCCATTTTAAATCAACTGGAAAAAGAAGGTGGGGGATATTTTCTGGGAAATAAAGGCCTGCCTTTCTTAAGGATGGAGCTCTGGTGGTGCAGTGGTTAAGAGTTTGGCTGCTAACCATAAGGTTGGCAGTTTGAATCCACCAGCCCCCTCTTTGGAAACACTATGGGACAGTTCTACCCTGTCCTATAGGGTTGCTCTGAGTTGGAATCGACTCCACCGCAATGAGGATTTCTTTAGGATGTTGGCCCCTTAGGGATTAGGAGGTAGGGAACAGAGTTGGATAAAGCAGGCCAGGAAGTTTTAGGAGTTTTAAGGAGTATCGGACTGTTGCTGCCTCACCTACCCTCACTGGAGAAAAAAACTGAAGGCATGGTGGTAGCGCTTTAGGGCATTTATGCAGTCTTAGACTGGGCCATTGATGATTGTGATTTCTTTAGTCTTCTATACACAAATCTCTAGACAGTACCTTTTAAAAAAATACCTTTGATTTATTTGGACGTTTGAGTTTTCAGGTAAATTTTATGAAAAGACCAAACTTTTTTTTTTACTCAACACATACTCAACACAATTTGTCGTAAGCTTTTTGTAAAAATGGAAATTATTTTCATATTAAAATCTGTCTAGAGAAGCTCCCTAAGTTTTGAAATAACCTTATAAGAAGTTCTCTAAGCTGAATAATACTGTAAGTTGGTCTCTTTCCAGTTTACAGTGTAGTGATGGAATGAAGACATGATTAGACCGAAATAAAGCACATGTAATAAGAGACTGCTCAGTTCTAACCATTCAAATCCATTCCCATGCTGTCAGATCTTAAGTTCATCCTTGGTGGTTTCATATTTAGCCAAAGAATTTATATGTTTAGCCATTAAAATAGCCATAATATTCACTTTATCTTTAGAATACTGGAACTGAATAGGGCAAAAATTCTGGGAAAGTGGGGCCAGGAACCAAGAGAAAGTCAGCAACACAGTTGTTTAAAAAGCCAGGGGTATGAAAACATCTGTGAACTTCAATCTAAGTGTTGCCCTCTTTGTATTCAACTTGGGCAGTTCTTTGTTAGACATCCAATGTCATTCAGCTTTGATGCCAAAAAATTGTAGAAAACCTGGAGTCCAGAAAGAAAACAAGTGGCTGGAGTAGCTCTGCGAGGAATGAAGTGGCAGGTTCCCAACAAAGAGCAAACCAAAACACGAGAGGAACTGTTTGGGGGCAATGGAACTTAGCAGTGACCTCATTACAGAATCTCAGGATGCTAATGCTTATGGTAAAGGACATCATCAACCTGATGTTGACTGGGACATCTGAAGGTAAGGGCGGCCTGGGGCACATCACATTGTAGTATGTTTATGTAGGTGAAACCCAGCTAAACCCATCAGCAGGGTCTACCTTGATCAGCAAAACTGAGGACAAACAGAAACATCCATCACCATGTTTGGGTCAAGGGAAAATTATTAAAAAGCAACATGAATGACCATCAAAGACTGAAAGGAGGGTGCTGGTAAATGTGAGAGGGAATCAAGGGGCCATATCATAAGTTTTGAGAGGTCACTGGGAGAAAGATGAAAACATTCTGGTATTTTCCTATAGAAGAGAACCTACTTGGACACAGGTGACCTGAAGCGTTAGAATGCTGTGAATGGATGGAGGAGTAGCTGTACTTGTACTGAGGATTAAAGGAGAAATTAAGTTTAAATTTTCAGGAAGATGACTTAGATGGTTTAATTTGCTTAGGGAAAGATGTGAAACACGAGAATGTGTTTGAGAGGAAAACATTCTTCCCCTTTAAAATTATTTTTGACTTGTCTTAAATGCAGAATAGTTCTTTCAATTAGATAATCACAGGTCAGATGACTTTAAAAAGTCCCATTCAGCCCATTTAATAATATACATATTTTGTAAGCCCTGATTCTTCTTCCCTCCAATATGCTTTATACAAGGCTGCGGGCAAGTCTAATTTCTCTAATCCTCAATCTCCCCCTCTGTAAAATGGGGTTGATATGATTAAATTCAGGTAATATAGTAGCAGCTCAGTAAATATTAGCTCATTATTATTATGATTATTTTGAAAGGTTGTAAAAAGGCTTAAGAATAAAATATAATTTATTAAAGGAATATTGTTTACATAGATACTGACATCTTAAGTATTTCAACACCATAGCAATACTAAAATTGGGTTTAACATCCTCTACTATAAAAGATGAGGTGCTGAATGATGCATACCTCATCAGTTTTTACTTTATTATGTCTCTAGGTGACATCCTTCTATGTTGAAACAAATCGCACGGCATCACATAAAGAGTACAAACATTTTAAACTCATTCACACAGTTAAATGCGCTCAACTGCCCTTCAGGAGAAATCTAAATTTGCTCAACTCTAAACATACAACAAAATGCTTTAGCTTCTCAGGAAACAAAAATGATTACTAACTTCTTTGTTTTCCTAGAAGTTAACTTTCCATTTGTTAATATGTTTTGATATGTTACCCCCCCCCCACCCCAAGTTGCTAAAAGAACAGCCTACTTTAGGTATAATCTGAAAATAAAATGTTCTAGACTCTAGTTTTCAAGTGTTTTAAAGATTTACACTTATGGAAAAAAATATGTAAGTGGGAACATGATGTCGGTGTAGACAGTCACCATCCTATACATTCCTCTCAGAATAATTTCTAGAATGTGTATAATCCTGGCAGGAAGCAATGATGGGAATACTTTGCCTTTAAAATTCTAGAGATTAAGGGAGGGGAGCTTAAGCTAGATACCAATTTTCTGTAAAGATGGATTTGTGCAAAACTGCTTTATGCTCTGGAAATACATAAGCCTGGCATTAGCTGATTACACATTATAACATTTTATAGAATTAAAAAAATAAAGGAAAAAAAAAAACTGGCCATTCTATTGGACGAGAGAATCTGCTGATGCTTAAACATGGTGAGATTTTTACAAAAGCTGCATCCAGAAATCTGTTCAATGTTCTGCTTTTCTATTTGAATGCATTTTTCTCTTCCATCAACAAAGATGAAATGTTGAAAACTGGCGACTGTCTGGACCATGTGGCGGTGTTGAAGAGACAGAAGAAAGCACTACTTGTCCTCCTTGCTCACTTTGCCCTCAACTAATTCTCTGTTGGGACTCTTGGCCTGCCAGGGTCTCTGCTTCCACCCTGATTTCCTAGGTCGTTTCGTGGCTCTCTGAGAACTGTTTGTAGTCCAAAGGCTGAGTTTCTTCTCCCACAGGTCTGCCTACTGAGGTAGCCACCTACTGACATGTCAGAGGCAGGGAAGAACCCACATTTTCCTTCCCCGAGGCCTCACTGGCCTGTCCATAGGTTTCTAATTCAGGTATTCCTGCGATAGGTAACAGCTCACTAAAGGTATACACTCACCTGAGATCCATTCTGAGAAAAGGTATTGAAGAGGAGAAGAGAAAGAAGAGCACTGGGAGTTTAAGGGAGGAATAACAGAACAAGGGGACGCTGTGCATTAGGCCGGTCCAGGGATGCCAAGGCCAATAGCTGGCTTTTGAAGAGTGAAGGGTTCACACTGACATCCAAAGGCCACCTTTGCCACACTGAATCTTTTGCCTTGGCTATCTACAAAGTTCTATTTTCAGGTATAAACCATTGCTGTCGAGTTGATTTTGACTCATAGTGATCCTACAGAACAGAGTAGAACTGCCCCGCAGGGTTTCCAAGGCCTCATACGCGTGTGAAAGCTGAACAATGAATAAGGAAGACTGAAGAATTGATACTTTTGAATTATGGTGCTGGTGAAGAATACTGAATATACCATGGACTGCCAGAAGAATGAACAAATCTGTCTTGGAAGAAGTACAGCCAGAATGCTCC